TGAACAAGTTCGCCCAGATGGGCGGTATTTTCATGATCCTGAAGATGACTTGAGTGCAGGAACTCACAGGAACAGAACCTACAGGGGTAGCTGCGATTGTCACTGCATCGTTTCCTGTGGGTGTTTTTGTGTCTGTTCAGAGAGCCTGATGGTAGTAAAATGAACCAGGGCTTTAGCGGGCAAGGTGGACATTTGCAAGTAACTAAGAAAAAGCTTTGATGGTATGAACGTGGCCAAGGCAGCCGGATTTTTGACATGTCAGAGAAAAATACGCTGTGTTAGTTAGTTTTAATTTTCTAGCAGTTTGGAGAATGGACAAATTGTTAGATTATTCGTGTTGCCTCCCAAGCTGCTCCTGGAGTGGTCAATTGGAATGTGTGGTTTGCCCCACTTCAGGTCCCTTCAAATTGAATTTACCTCCGCTTTTGCAAATGTTCGTTTTTGATAAGTTTATGGAACTAGACACACTTTGTCCTTTTACCAGCGTTCGTTGAAAACATAAGCTGAATACATCTAGCCCATCGAGACAGAAGCTAAAGAGTTTAGGTTTTGTGGAGCACATATAAGGATTTAGCAAGAAGTTAGTAATCATCCTCGATTTGTGGGTATGTACTACTCCTGAGTGAACATTCATTTTCGTGGGCTGACTTTTAATTTGGGAATCAAAGCGCGAGGAACGAGCATAGAACGGTAAAACATGCGTTGGGGGCATTTGCACTTTTGTTGACGATTAAGCCCTATGGGTTTGCTCACCCGCTTGGGCAACGCCATGAAACGTTCAGGCGACTACACGAACAACGCCCCCTTTTTTCGAGGGCAAAGTCTCGCGATTATACTGTGTCAACAAGAAAAAGGCGGTGTGGGCTTGTTTGCCTAACAGTTGGCTGCTCGGCACGTTCCCCGGTGGCTGATATTTAGATGGTCTTTGGCAAATAAGTAGGCAAAACCCTGTAACATCAAAATTAGTTGGCGACCACGAACAATCAGTAAACAAATTTGTCTTCCACACTTGTCCTACATCTAGATTCTTGAGCATACGCCTTGGGAGAAACCATTGTTGGCCCAATTAGAACGTGCATCACACTTGTAATTTATCGTCTCAAGCAACAGCATGAAAATCTCTGATAACATTAATGCAGTCTATGACACGTGGTGTCCGCTAGAACCGACACGCCAGTCTGAGGGTCCGGCAACGGTTGCTGGTTTAGTAGTTGTGCTCAGTTGCTGTAGATCGCTGGCCAGAAAGATCTACGGATCAGGTTACACTCCCGAAGCTTCACCTCTCGTCTGCGCATAAAATCCCGCTTATTTGAGGCCCGTATTGCATAAAATTACAACGGCGAAACATATTAAAACTATAAACGGCGATATCTGGTCTCGCACCCGGACTTGAATTCAAGCAAAACAGTAAACAGCTGGTCCCGGGGACAGCTATAAAAACTGTGATCAAATATATGCAGGCATGGAAGACAAATGAAACTAATACAAGCGAACATCCGTGTCCCAGGAAGCAATTGAGAAGACTCGATCGCTGGGACAATATTGTCCCAGCGATCGAGTCTTCTTCTTCACAAATGAAACTATTTATATAAATCAGGTAAAAATGTTAGAATGTGTTTTACATGAGTAGATGGAAAGAAAGTGTCCGAAAAATGCGGCATGTTATTGTGTAGGAACTGACTTTGGAGCATGTTTCGAGGCATTCAACTTTGTAATCTAATTAAAGCGATTACT